TGTGCCAGTGCCCCCATGTTGTGCAATGCCTGTAGAGTTCAGAAGAGGGTGTCAGATCCCCTGGAGCTGGAGTTACAGTTGTCAGCCACCATGTGGGTGCTGGGAACCGAGCCCAGGTCTTCTGCAAGAGCAGCTGGTGCTCTAACCAGTGAGCCATCTTTAAAAGGCATCTTACTTCTTTGGGTTTTTATTGCTTCCAAAGAGTTTGAACCATATACCGAAGCCAGTAGCCAGTGTCCGCAAACCACACAGCTGCTTCTGATCACAGGACCTAGGGGACTGAGCAGCTGTCATCACTGGATGAGGCTGATGGCATCTCATCTCATTGCATTTTCTGGTCTTGGGGTGAGATTAGGGTTTTTTTCAGTTCTGCTTTTAAACAACCAGACAATGAAGCTGGTTAGTTTACAGTGACTGTGACTTGTGAGGCCACATCCGCGGTCTCAGATTCCATTGCCTTTTACTCATCTGAACTGGGAGAATAGCCTGAGATAAATGCCTATCATATGGGTCTACGTATTAGAGAAAAAAGTCTGCTTCTTTCAACAAGGTCCTTTTGCAAGAAAGGAAAGAGGTGCGCTGGGGATCTTGGGAGAGGGTTGGCAGGGGTGAGGAGCTCCGCTGAGGGACTCATAAAGGAAGATCAAATTATAGGGCACACCATGTCCTGATTTATCCTCCCGTGTTCTATATTCAACTATGAAATCATTTCAAAGGGGGGAAAATGCACTTCAGATTGAACAAAGAAAATTATCAAAGCTAGTGCTGCCCTCTGGTGGTCATTCCCCCACACAGCAGAACGTTCGGGAGAAATTGAACATCTGGCTTTCTGACTGAACGTTAACGCATAGAAAGGAAAGGGAAAAAGTCCTATCTGTACAGTAATTTATAGTTTTTTGCCCACATCATATTAAACTTGACTGATAAATGGGATTTACAAGTGTTCATCCTCTGAAAAGAGGCTAATTTTCTCTGATCCTGATTCATAAAGGCATTATTTTGTTTTTTTAACGTGTTGGCCTTAACTGATGTTTGAGGCAGTAAAATGGCAACGTGGCTGCAGAGACAGAGCAAGGCTGGCTCTCTCCTCCTCTACTGCAGGCAGCGCAGGGCTCTCAGCCCTCCCCACAAAACTTAGCGACTCGTGGGAAACCTTGATGCCCTGTGGCCATCGTATTTCTCTATCTGCACTGAGCTCTTTTCTTCTTTTTCATCTTTCCGAGACAAGTCTCGCTCTATCCCGCAGGCTGCCCTTGAACCTGTGATTCTCCTACCTCAGGCTTCTGAGTGCTGAGATTGTGCATGGACCCCACAGCACCCATCTCAATATTTCTAATATTGCCAGGTGGAGGAGCGTCTTTAGAGTGGATTCGAGTGACAGCTGGGCAGGAAGCCTGCCGACTTGGTCTCATGACTGGTCACTTTGGAGAAGGTTCTGGTGCATCCAAGCCCATGTTCCATGCATGAAAAGACACTGAGACCCTTGGGAAAATCATTTCTCCTCTCCCATGAGTGCTTGAGCATGTGTTCAGAACACAGAACTCCTTCCTGTTGTGTATTGTTGTGTGTAGGTGTTTGCACACACATTTGGGTGTGTGGGTGCACATGCATATGGAGACCAGTGGTCAACCTTGGGTGTTGTTCCTCAGGTGCTGTCCACTTTGTAATTTGAGATGGGACCTGTGTCATTGGGATTTAGAGCTTGCTAATCTGATTAGGCTCAACTAGCTGGCCAGGATGCCCACTCAGCTATCTCCACCTCTCCTGCACAGGGATTCAACACGCTCTACCATGCCCAGCCGTTTCCCTGGGTTCAGGAGCATCTCATGTTTGCTAGGTCGGCACTTTACTGAGGTGTATCTACCTGGCCCCTACTATGTATTCTCAGGCTTGGAGGACAGACCCCACCTTGGCCCCAAAGACTCTCCAGCAGATCTGTCTTGTAAGCAGTTGCCACTGAAATTTATGTTAAATAAGTCAGCTTGTCATTTGCAAGAGTGAAGGCCAGTCTAGGGCAGAGAGAGTAAGTGCACTCTGCAGCCTTCCAGGGTCCTTCCAGAACGCCTGAGTCTAAACAGCAATCTGAAGCTCTGCAGCAACAGATGAACAGAAACAAAGCAGCTCTTCAAGTCTGTGTGGTCAGGATGCGCTCTGCATAGCAGAGCTCATTCCTCACTTTGGTAGCTTTGGAGACCTGTTAGGACCAAAGATAAGACTGGGTATCGTGTTGAAGGAGCGGTATTTACCTGCTGCCCTCACAGAACAATACACAGGCAGGCATTCCCTCCTGGTAGAGCCCTGGCCCCACCTTTCTCCCTGAGCTTTGAGGGCAGAATTCAGCATCTGACAACAGCATAATGGAAAATAAATAAAACACCTCACAGGCTAGTTCTGGAGCCCAGCTCTGACTGTCTGAGGTTTAAATCTGCACTTTAGAGGCAGAGGTGTATACCGAAGAGACCCTTGACTTTCTCATCAGGGAGACGTAGATGCCGGGGGTGGGGAGCACAAGACCCCCAGTTACGCTGCCCACCCCCGTTCACTGTCTGCACACCAGACCTAGGGCCCCGATACCCCATAGACTCTGGACTTGGGAACATGCATCGTTTTAGGTAAAGGACTAATAAACGGTTTTAGGAATAGTGTTCAGCCTTACAGAGGAAGGGAGTTCTGACATCTGCTCCATAAACCTTGAGACATTATGATCAACGGATTACACCAGTCACAATAGGATAACTTCTACAAAATTCCACTGACGGGTTGTCCCTAGAGTTGTTCATAGAAAGAAGGCAGAGTTGGGTGTTGGGGATGGGAAGGAAATGGTATTTAATGGTGTAAGGCTTCACACTGAGAAGATGACAAGATTTTGGGTATTTTTACATCACATTAAAGTCTTTATATTTTTAAATATTTTTTAAAATTAAACCTTATATTGTGTATTTTACCACAATAGAAACAAAAATGAGTTCATGCATTTATCCAGTAAAGGCTTATTAAGGCACGTGTGTGTGTGTGTGTGTGTGTGTGTGTGTGTGTGTGTTTTAAATATCCTAATGTGTATGTGATGTGCATGTGTGGTATATATGTGTATGAGTTCCTGTGTGTGCACATGTGTACATGTATGCATGCATGCATGTGTAGGCCGGAGACCAACATCACGTGTGTTCCTCAGCTGCTCTCCACCTCACTTTTTTGTAATTTATGTATTTTTCATTTTTACTGAATTTTTGCGATTTTCCCACAATATAATTTGATGGTATTTAGATCCCCTCCCCTGCCCACACCTCCCCTTCTTGCTTCTGCCCATTCAATGTACTCTATCATGTATATAATGAGGCCTGTGGTCTAATTTGTGTCTCCAAATGTCCTTCAGTGTGGGTCCATCTCCCGGAGCCTGGTTAACCTCCCAAGAGTCCCATGCTTGAAAGAGACTGTCTCTGCCCCTCCCAGCAGCCATCTGTTGCCACAACTTCCTTGGGGGTGAAGGGGGTGGAAGTCCATGCTGAGATTCTTTTCCCATTTGAGCTTGCCTGGGACTTGTGTTTGCTGTCACTATTGCTGTGAGTTCATTTTTTGAGACAGGGTCTCACCACACCTGAAGCACACAGATTCAGCTGGACTGGGTGGCCAGCCAGCCCCAGGGGTCCACCAGCTGCCATCTCCCTGAGTTCGGGGTTACAGATGCACACTGTTACACCTGGATTTTTACCTGGGTGCTGGAGATCCAAACTCAGATTCTCACGCTTGGACAGCAAGGACTTTACAGACTGAACCACCTCCCATGTAGCTATATGATTAAAAATTCCATACTAGGAGCCAGGAGATGCAAACACGGACTAGACATGGCCCCTACTTTAGAAAATATCATAAAATCCCCAGGAAGACACTCTAGATTTTTATGGCTATTTTTATGCTTTCTTTCCTCTAAAAATTTTTTTTCACTCTCTTTTATTAGCAAAGAAAAAACTTTATTATGGAACCTTTGTAGTACAAGGGTTAAGTTTTTATGGCAATCCTCTTTTGAAAAATTTTATTTTTATTATATTTATTTTGGGAACTTGCTCGGGAACTTGTAAAATTTCTTTTTTTGATATGCTTTGGTATATGGTCTCGGGAAGTTTAAATTTATAATTGTGAGTTAGCAGTAGTAACAGTGGTGCTGACAAATACCAGGTTATTTTAAATTAAAAAATGTATTTATTATTCTTATTTTATGTGTAATGTATTGCCTGCACGTATGTAAGTGCACCTGTGTCATGCAGTGCCCTTGGAGTTAAGAAGGCGTCGGATCCCTTGGAACTGGAGTTACGGACAGTTGTTAGCTTCCATGTGGGTACTGAGAACTGAACCCAGCTCTTCTGGAAGAGCAGTCAGTGCTCTTAACCTCGGAGTCATCTCTCCACACCACCAAGCCATCTCTCCAGACCCATTTTTTTCTTTTTCAAATACCATATTTTGAAATGGTGCATATTCTGACATCGGATCCCTTCACAGTGAACTAAGCCAGCTACTGCTTGAGGGGGCATGGGTCCCTCTGATGTCCTTCCACCCCAGCATGGGGCAGGGGCCCTCTAGTTCCTTCTCAGTGTGCCACAGGGTAGGGAGTGGGGAGGGCAGGAAGTGGGTGAGGGGAAGGAAGGAGGACGGGACATGGAGTGCATTTAATGAGGAGCCCAGCAGTGAAATCAGTAGGTGCTGTCCACTGACTATCAATTAAGGGGCAATTACGGCCTCTGCACTCTGGTTTTGATAAGTAGGCTGCCAGTGCCTGGGACATCACCAGATAGACAATGGCTCTAGGCAACTGCATCCCCTATAATGATGCAGGAGCCTGTTCTCAAGTGAGGTGTAATGAGGACTTCGCATTGTAAGTGGAGACAATGCAGCAGATAAAACCACCCGAGTGGGAGGGGAGCTGAGGAAGGAGACCTTCCAGCAGGAGCATCCACAGTGAGGCCCTGGAAGCCGCTGGAAAGGCCCTTCGTCATGTACCAACTTACCGTGGGGTAGGGGTGGGAGCAGAACACCGTGTACTTCCTGATGATGCCGTTCAGCTTGAGCGGGGGCAGCCAGGACACAAAGACCATGGAGGCCGAGGCTGCAGCTGCCTTGACACCGGCAGGAGGGCCTGGAACTGGAAGACATGGGGTTAGTCACGGGGTGGAGTGGACCCTCCCCCGGGTGACCAGTTCTGGGGCCTCTCCCTGCTCAGTTCTTTGAGGATCAGTGTCATGGGTCCCACTGTGTCCCCACAACATGACTGAACCACATTCATATGCATAGTCCTAACCCTAGGACTTCAGAATGCCTTTGTATTTGGACATAGGATCCTTATTTTTTTAATTTTATTTTTTATATGTATGTGTGTATTGCCTGCATGTGTGTAATGCCTGTGGACATCCGAAGAGGGCATTGGATTCCCCTGGACCTGGAGTTTTGGACAGTTGCTATCTACCCTGTGGGTGCTAGAAACTGAACCCTGGTCCTCTGTAAGAATAGCCAGTGCTCTTAGCCGCTGAGTCATCTTTTCAGCCCAGGACACAGGATCTTTAAAAAGGTGATTAAGTCACTGCTGAAAGCTCAGCCATCAATGCAACACCTATATCACCTCCTCCAACGCTCAGGGAACATCCAGGAAGAAAGGAAAGAATGTAAGTGGGGTGGAGTGCTGAGGAATGTCACGTTCCAGGTGTGACATGACTGTTGGACTCACAGCAGCTATGATTATCAGGACAAGATCAGCAAAGGATTGGCCTGTCAGCATCCTGTCATGGAGGGGCTCATGAGAGGGCCGTGACTCCTGGAGGATCTAGAGCAAATAACGCTTGCTGGGGGAAGGAAAAGATGTTTTCCTTTCCACGGGATGGCCACTGGCAAAGTGCCGTGCTCTTGCAGATAACGTATCAACCAAGTCTTTATAACCAACCTAATGAAACTCACTGGGTCACCAACCAACCAACCAACCAAAGCCCATGAAGTAGAAGAGGGAACTTAGGAAGGGGAAGGGGAAGGGGAGGGGAAACGGAAGGAAGGGAACCACTGGGAGTGGGCCGGGGCAAGAGAGGGTAAAGGGAGTGAATGTGGTCAGAATACATTATATACACATATGAAAATGTCCTAATGACGCCTGTTATTATATATAATTAATGTGCTAATAACAAAAGAAGTGATTAGAGTGGGAGCATTAGGGAGGGTGGGTTCTGGTCTGAAGGGGACGCTATTATGAAGGGCAGTTTGGACACAGAGACATGGAGCAACACAGACAAACACAGCTATTTGGAAGCCAAGGGCCGGGATAAAGTAACTTTTGCAAGTTGACGGTATCTTTGCATGTCATTTACACTCTTTTAAGCCTAAACAACAAGACCTGGGATGAGCTACACTGGGCCGGGCATAGCTGCTACTTGAAAATGTAAAATCTTGGTATTAGTTTTGATCAGGTCTTGCTGCCAGGGAAATGGCTGGGAAAGGGAACACAGATCATTGATCAAGCTGCATCCAGAAGTCCCACGTGAGCTAAACTCCTTTGACCTGTGTGCTTGTGTTCAGGTTTCCTACAGGTGAAGGCAACAGCTAGAGCCTCCAGGTCCAGAGCCACTGGGGTGTGTGGAGGCTCTCTTAACACCAAGAGGCGCCTTTGTTTCATCCTGACACCCTGGGACAGACCACACCCTGCTCTCTTCTGTAGAGCAGTGTCCTGGCCACTATACCACCATGCTGAGCGCTCCTGCTGGCCAGCATCTCTTCAGGGGCCTGAGGTCTTCAGCAGCAGCCTTGTGTGGTGTGCTGAACAGGGCCAGCCATGGTCTCATCCAGCCCATGTGTGGCTACCATCCTTGTCACAGAAAGCCTAGGGCAAGTCTCTACCTATACCAACGAGGTGTGAGTGTAAAAGAAAAGCTGTTTCTGCAGCAATGTGGGGATTCTCCTGGAAGGCTTGCTGTGTAAGTTAGGGTGGACATAGGGAGGAAAAGACGGAGTGGGGGGAGGGGAGTGGAGGGAG